GCTCCTATGCCATTCCCGTCTGGGGCTGCGCCCTTCCCCACCGCCTGAATCATTTGCAAGGTAGGTGCCTTTTTCGCTCCGCACTAAGCTACCCCTGATTCGTCTGAAACACAAAAATTCTGAATTCTGTAACCTTCTACAATGAGCTATCTTATAGCTTCGCTTTTTAGCGCAAGTGTCCACCCAGTACTTTAAAAGTACTACTTCGGGTTTCCTCCCCAACACTCCCATCTCCCCCACTCTTAACCCTCTTCCCATCTCAATCCTATCGCCAATTCCTGCCATTTTCTTCCCGGGGATGAGTAACCCTCAGGGTTTATCTCCCGCTCGCGGAATGGTTTTAGTCGGTAAAAATCCGACACCACTTCCCTTCAGGGGGTGTCTTTTGAAAATTTCCCCTCCTCGAGAATAATCTAACCAACAAAAAAGCTCTTTATCACTGAAGCACGAACTTTTGTCTTCTAAAAATAAGGAATCATCTACAATCTCACTATCTGTGATACTAACCGTATCACACTGAAAACTGGCGACTAAGATATAGAATTCTGGAGCATCGTTTTGAGGCCTCTTGCATTTTGATAGAAAATGACTAGATCAGTTGACACCTTGCGTGCTGGGTTTTTTCTTCCTCGATTGACGAAATGTCATAATTTTCAGTATTGTTGGCACACCATTCACATATTTAGTCGTATTGTCGGTTTCACCATTACTCACCATTCTCTCAAGTTCGCTGCGCAGGAAATGAAGGTACGCTATGCTGTGAAAGAGTCTGATTGGCCTTAAATTTGATATCATATCTAGTGTCGATTTTTAATATTCCCTTGGTAATATCTAAAGACGAAGTAACAATCAGGAAAGGTCTGGTTTTACCCCTTTCATATTTGCCAAGCCGACGCATAGTAATAATATTACCCTGTGCCAATAAATGGGGGGGAGGGGTTATGTCACTACGATCCTCACTAAGACCTTGGGCACCAGTAGCCTTAGTTGACTCGGGGACATTCAGTACTATGACCTCCTTTTTACATCTCTCACGTTCATTTAACCCAGAAAAAATATTTTTAACGCCGTTAGTAGTCAAATCAGTGGAGTTTACTATTTTCTCAAGCTGACTTACGCGCTTTCCAGCTGGGAATACTTGTCTGCAATCTTCTTACTGGCTATGGAAATAGCACTCAGCTCAGCATGTATCTCGCTGAGGCTGTTTTCCAAACTAAGTTTGAAAGGTTCCAGATATTTCAAAAACAATTGTTCGATCTTGTCCTCAATAACGGTATTGTTATCATTAAGTAGTACGCAACTAACCTCAATGTAGTATACACTCCCATAGATATCTTTATATATATCTATAGTATACTGTAGGAGGTAAGGCGACACTAAAAACTGCAAGACTCCGTACCTTTTGCGCAGGCGCGAAATTGACTCCTGTCAAGAATGTCTATGAGAATTCATTTTTGAATTTTTTACCCACTACACGCTACCTCAAGGTCCCGGGTTCGATTCCCGGTGGGGGTGTGACAACAGCAACAATTTTTCCCTCATTAATTTGAGATAGCGAGTAGTGGGTAAAAAATTCAAAAATGAATTTTCAGATTAATATTTCATATTAAACTAACTCACTTCTAAAAGTTGTCTAAATTGTATGTATGTTCTATTTTATTGCTACAGAGCAACAACCACTCAACTGTTGATCCGCCATTTAAATTAAAAGAAAAATTTTTAATTTCCCGTTGGGAGCACGTCTAATCCGGTAGATTTTCTACGGACCTTTTGGTGAAGGACCCCTCTGCTGCCGTATTATATAGCCACATATAATATATAATGCATAGGCAGTAAAAAATGACATCCGATCTAATTATCCTGACCTTTGCGTGATCGAATCATATAAAAAGATAGAAGCGGTTGACGTTCGAAAAAAAAATCGTTGTTGACTTTCAACTGAACTAACTCTAAATTCCGCGAAATGAAATATTCAGATACGTTTCAATCGGGAGGCGAGGGGCAGCTGATACGTTCACGATCTCCAATGTTTTTTAAAAAATCGTTTTTTAAGATGCTTGACCAACTTATTTCATCTCTAAAAAGTAGATTTGAAAATCATCCAGGACTTTTGTCAACAATCAATGATTTGCAGTGGGTTTTATAAGGACAATTTGGATAAAGTCATATTGTTAAGTGACGTTTCTGCAACTTTTAAAAAGGTAAAATGAGCAAGTAAACATTCAAATAACCTAAGGGAAGTTGTGGACCTTTAAAAAAGTACGAATGGATTAGAGGGCATTTATCAGAATTCGTTCAATTTATTCGCTTGTTCATCATAATTCCAGGCTCATCTTGTTCGAACGAAAGGAGTTTTTCTGTTGTCCGTAAATAAAACATATTTGTGGAAGACGAAAATCGGCTGAATAACATTGCCATTTTGCATGTTTATCGTGATATATGTAACAGTCGATCGTTTAGTCAATACGCCCATCTTAGAAAATGCAAAGCGTGGAGCAGTTTTTGCGTTGCGCAATTGAGCCAGATTTGTGTAATTGATATTGTAAGATACAGATGACGTTATTTTTTTATATTTTATACAGACAACCCTATTCACTTGAGCCGAAAGAGCTTGTCCGGTCTGGAAAGAGACATTTACGTTATCATTTCGGTCCTGGACCAATTTTTGTTCTTTTCTATTTATTCCAGTTTGCTATTTATGCACATCTACATTGTCAATCAAGCGCAGGATCGGCTTCGGATTAAAAATTGTTTTTCTTAAAACATTTTTTGCCCTTTAACCACCCTGCCAAACTCGCCATCCGATTCCTTATTGCATCTAGCTTCAACCCTCCAAAACTCTGCACTAATTTCTGTCAGACCCTGTACAGTGTATTGTATTTTAATCGAGTTTACATTTCTTAAATTGAAACTTTTATTACATCGCCTAAAATGTTTTCGTCCATCTATCGCATGTCGTATTACAGTCGGCCGCGGAGTAGAGGTAAAACCGAAAGGCGCTCGCCAGAGCAGCCAAAGTCTATGATTCGCATGAGCTAACCGTATAGCATTTATATTCTCACTCATTCGTGCAAGTTCATGACAATTACAGTTGTAGACTGTGAAACTCAAAGCGAAGATGAAATTATTGACAGAATAATTGAAATTCAGAATGATTCAATGATTTAAATAAATATTGTCCTCAGCTTTTAACATGCGTCTATCATCTGATTTAATACCTTAAATAGAATAATTTTCTGAAAATTTACAGTTAAATGCCTACAATCCGGAGTTTCACTTGCATCGTGATTTCACAAAACCACATAATTGTTTTTTATTTAAGTGTTATAGAACAAATAAAATAGCTCAAACCCCAACGCCAAAATACGACACTTTAGGTGTCAAGCACTTTTCGGGAACAAGGTTACCTTCTTTAAGGAATGAAGTGAACTGTACTAAGTGTTTGTTCTTCGTTCAATTTAAGAGTCAAATATTACAATATAGTTTTGAATTTTTTACATTAACTTTTTTTGGTATAATGAATTTCATATGCATGGTTCAACTAAGCTTAACTTTTATTCGGCATTAAATGAATATTTTAGCAAAACTCTCTCCAAGCATAAATCTTGTGTAAGTACCTCCCTGTAGTTAACATATCGTAAATTGGAAGGTGAAATTAAAGTGAATAACAATAACAGATTGTTGTTTTATAACACTTTATTAAACAAAACAAACATAAAACGTTGTACCTAAATATATCATATATATTTATATATATAAATTACGCTAAACATTTTATACGGAAAGAACAAGACATATGTGCAATATCTAAAATTGTCTTTTATGGCTGGTATATGTATGTATTTTTTTTGACAACATCATGCCGCTACAGTTTAACACTTTCTAAAATCGTACTCAATACAAATAATAATTATAACAACAACATAATTACTATTATGGATAAATAAGAGTGCCCTCCTAATTCCCGTTCAACCACTCGAATTCAGATATGTGGATAATACCGATACCCTAGTTTAGATTTTGAGCAAACAAGAAATTATTTATTTATTGTACTTAGTTGAGATGTAAATGCACATTTGTAATTTACATGTATGCGAAAGCGAAACTTCCTCATTGCTCAATACATTTTGCATTTAAGAAACTATCAACACGTGATGAAGCAAGCAATATAAACACTAACTAAACAATACAAGAGAGTTCAAAATTACCAATTGGGGATAATACATACCACGTTAAATTATTTATTTACAATCTTACAACCAATGAATCCCGTTGTTCGAAAAAATTAGAAAGTAAATTGTCGAAATCTAAAAAGATTGCTACATGCAAAAGATCTAGGCTGCAATTTATGATATTTTCTTACATGATAAGAATATATTATTTTTGATGATTTAATTGAATTGTTAATCAGTAAAATTTGATTTTGGCAATAAATAACTGTTCAATACAATCTTATTTTGTAGTAAGGTAACGTTTCAACCGTCGATGTTGGCCAACTTCAGGTTAACCTTTTAATCACATATATCATAACAAGTTTTAACTGGTGTTAAATCGTCTTTGTTTTTAACTATCTATATGTTTTTATCATTCAAGATTGTAAAAAAAAATTAAATTTGCATCTTATTTTCTATAAAATTCCCCAATCTGTTTGATTAATTTTCAGTGTATTTTAATTTAGTTTTTATACTTCAATAAAAATCGAATAGATAAATCAATTCCAGAAACCTTTCGACAACAATCAACGGTATTACAAGTCTTTTTCTGTAAAAATTGTTCCGGACATATTATAGTCATCTGCGTATGAGGGATCCGAAGGTCATCCAGATAGATGAATTTAAAAGTCTTAATTATTCAAAAACCGTGGAACGTACACTAAACATCAATGTCAATTTTCTGGATTAGAGTCCACCATACGCAGTTGAAGAGTTATCTACTAATCCCGTTGTAACAACGCAAAACTGGGAAATCCGTATTGGAGTTTTTTATTTTCTACCGTAAAATGGTAATTTTAGACTCTCATTTATTGATTTGTATTGCTAATACACTTTTTCCAATATTTTACTGGTTCAAATTTAGATAGATCATTAAACATGTTTTACAAGTAGCAAATGCGTTTAATATAAGATACATTTATAAGATTTACCGATAAACAGTTTCACATTGTATTACAAAAGCGTATTACTCTTCACAATTACAGAATATAATTGCTTGTATTACGTCTCCAGCATTATTTTCAATGTCTAACTAAATCAATAAATAAAGCATTTTTGGAATTTTTAAATTCTATGCATTAATCAATAGGGTTTATTGTAAAATACAATTCCTAAAAGATATGCATCGGAGAAGATATGATGATCGCTTTTGAGTGGAAGAAGGGTTTTTTTTAATAGCAATAATTCGCAATTGTTGCCTTCCAAAGCAAAGCATCCTTTTAGCATATAGTATTATGTATATGATATCAAGTTGTACAATCTAGAATAATAATCTGAAACACTTTTATTGCCTATGTTATTATAATTCTAAGACTTTATTTGCATCCTAAAATGTTAAAAATTACCCTGAATATCTTCGCCAATATATAATTATAAGCTCGCAAATCTTTGAGCTTTTTATTTAATAAATAACTTTATTATATAATATCTATCTCACTTAAAGCGTTTTCTACAGTCTAATAATGCGATTGCCTCAGGTATATTCAAGATGATTTTCATTGCTCATAGTCAGGTTTTTTTATTGGACTTAAAGTAATATCACTTTTCTGTTTTTAAAATCCCTTTTGTAATCTTTTTATTGTTAATTTGTTCATACTGATAAATAATAAGCACTACCTACTATTTCAAGAATTATACTGAATACAATTACTACAACGTTTGCTTTTCCAAGATAACGTACAATTCTAATATTTGTAACCAATACATTTCTTGAAACTATAGGGTCTAATTTTCATTTGATCAGTGTTTTTTGATATTACTTCAAAACCGTTTCAAAACTCGACCGTTATAACTTTTCGTTCACAAACCAAGTGTGGTAAAAATAAGAAGTCCACTCAAAGAGTGGATAATACCTTATTTATATGTTTAACTTGTTTGTGACCCTGTTTACTGAAGGCTTGAAACCGTTAATTTTAATGATTGTGGTTCTCTATAATATTAAACTGCTAGCGTTTTATTTGACTAAAACTATAAAGAGACGTACTACCCTTTGCAAAATTGATAAAAATAAAAATTAAATACATTATATTAGTCTAACACTAAAATTTAATTAAAAATTAATCATTAGGTACCGTATTGTTTTTCAGATTTTTACTTTCAAAGATGAAAAAGTGTAAACAGAAATAGGGATTCGATGGTAATATCCAATTAATTATGTTTAAAATTTTGAAATCGATTCAGAAATGCAAAATTTATGAATTTTTAAAAATGCTATTACACTGAAGCGACTGTTTAGTCACTGTTTTAATCCCGTATCTTTGTTCCAAACAATAAATCCCAAACGCTCTGAAAGACTCAATTTGATAAGAATTCTTTTCTAGATCGTAAAGTCTAATAAAAAGGATAGCACATCCGTTTAAGTTTGAATTTCTTTAATTTTTTGTCTTTAAATATGATACTTAATAAAAAGCTAAAAGTGATTGCCAGATAAATATGTTGTAAGTATTTTATATGAGATAGCTAGACATAAGGCCTCTGCTAGGTCACTACTATGACTTAAGCGATCAAGTTTACCGACATTTGTTTTCGCGCTTTTAAAATATTGCACTAAATATTTTTCAGTTCTAGACTAGTGCGTCAGTTATTTATATTTCTATCACTACAATGTTTCGACTACCTCTAACAAACTCATTATCTAAATTAATATGTAGCGAAATAAACAGATTCGACATCTACCTAGATATGCATTATTTAATTAGACATAGCATGTATAGAAAAGACCATTCATCAAATACAATTAACTATAAATCAAACATTTTAATGTATAGATTCCAAGCTTTTATCTGAAAATTATCAGTTTAAGTTTTTTTTTATTAAAAATTATAAGCATCCAATTCAAAATGAATATTCTGCATCATTTTCACAGTTTTGAGTGATGTGAAACAAGTCACTTATGAGTATTGCTTTTCCATTATTTTCTGCCCTTTGGCAAACGGTTTGAAGTCACCGAATAAAATTTAAAAAAATCGTATGTTTGTCATATTTAAAATTGTAAACAGAGCAGTTAATCACACTATTATTTGAATGTACTGTTGATCTAATAAACATCAATTTATTTACATACGTATTTTGTAAAATAAACAAAATCAGTCACAGATCATCAAAATTTGGATCTAAGATCTAATTAAGTTTAGTTAGTTAATGACATTGGATGAATGACCTAATTTGGCTTCGTTCTATTAAAACCCTAACGATATTAAAAAATATATAATTAATGCCCACAGTTAACAAGCAGCAAACTTCCACCTTGAGTTAATCTCATAAAGCAACACGGTTTTCTCTTTGGTCTTTTTTCATAATAATGGAATGACTAACAATAAAATGTTAGTTGACATTATTTCTACAGTGTGGGCACATTTATGTAGTATGCGCTACAACCTCCATAACTTGTGAAANGTGCAAAAATACTTTTTCGTGTGTTTTAGGTTGTATGATACATAGATAGATGAAAGTTTTGCAAAAATACAATTCCTTGTTCTGAAAAACTTAATTTCTATTAAAACCCTAACGATATTAAAAAATATATAATTAATGCCCACAGTTAACAAGCAGCAAACTTCCACCTTGGGTTAATCTCATAAAGCAACACGGTTTTCTCTTTGGTCTTTTTTCGTAATAATGGAATGACTAACAATAAAATGTTAGTTAACATTATTTCTACAGTGTGGGCACATTTATGTAGTATGCGCTACAACCTCCATAACTTGTGAAAATGCTTCATTAATATCTTTATGCCCTTAAATCGTTCCAAGTTTTTTTTTTCAAAATGGGCTATCACAAAAACTTGCAATTATACAAAATGAGATTCTAGATATGTAAATCTCGAAGGAAGATTTTATGAACGACATTTTAATATTGTTTTAATCAAGTTTTTCTAGTCCTTTTGAGTAGACATAAAAATTGTTAATGAACCATTGCACAAATTAAGGACAATTATATTAAAAGTGTTTTCTTTTTTTCTAGTTGATTATTGAAGCAGAGAATTTTGAGCGCCACTACGTATACTGAAATGTGTTCACTTCCACAACAATATTTCTGAAATTCAGAATCGATAACTACAACAAAATATATATATATATATCTAAAAACATCAAAAACCAATGATCCACATTATAATTAGAACGTTACTACGACTGTTTAATCAAAAAAATTTGGCACATAATTTCCGTTTCAAATGCATCATTGAGTAGTTCATTTTTGTTTTGCTTTTTCTCGCGATTTATAGATATGATAAGACATTTATACATTAAAATTGCGTAGAAGACTAGAACACTTTAAAACAGTTATTAATCCTACGTGCGTGAATAAATAAAGTGCTTATACGAAATTAAAAATGAAAAATATTATAAAAACAATGTAAGATTTACCGATAAACAGTTTCACATTGTATTACAAAAGCGTATTACTCTTCACAATTACAGAATATAATTGCTTGTATTACGTCTCCAGCATTATTTTCAATGTCTAACTAAATCAATAAATAAAGCATTTTTGGAATTTTTAAATTCTATGCATTANTGAATAAATAAAGTGCTTATACGAAATTAAAAATGAAAAATATTATAAAAACAATGTTATATATATAATGTATCTGACTAGAACGTTATGAAAGACCACAGAGATTCGAATCTGTACAGGACACAACCTACATATCTTTCTTTCAATCGATCTCAAAAATAAATAACACTTATTTAAATACCTTTTCTATAATGCAGAATAGTTGCAACGTATTAGTTTTTCGAGGGATTCGTGTTTGTTGTTTACAGTCAAATTCAGGATTGCAGTCTAGTACAGAAATAATTATGTTAGCAACATGCAAGAGAACAAGAGAAAAATGATTCTGGAGTGTTTTGGTCGACCAATTTTAAGGTTCATAGAGATGCCAAAGCAATTTGATTTACATTCTTTCATGTTTTTCCAGACCAATAATTCCGTAATAATCGTTTTCTACATAGTTTCTCTTCTTTTTGCAGTCATTAACAAAAACTTAAAATTCTTATCTACCAAATATTAGAAGCTGTTCATAAAATACGTTCGTAAATAAGGGGGAGGGTGGGGTATCGTTTATAGTGACAAGACATGACGAGAGGAAGAGGCTCTAAGAAAATATGGTGATCACAATTCATCAATTTTATCTCAATTTTAGGCAGTTCTTAAAATTTTTCATTACGATAGAAACTCGTTCTCTTTCTTTCTATTAATCATAAGAAATCGTTTATAGGAGGGTGGGCTAGCTTTTGTGATGTAATATTTGTTAGGGTTAGTGCGACTAAGTGGGAAGGAGAGGTCCACAAAGGTGAAATTCTGAGTGACGTTTTTATGGATCTAGAAATGTTGACGATGCAACTATCCTGCCTTTAAAAAAGTGGATATTTCAAACTTTTGATATAAAAAGTGAAATGATTCTTTGCTGCTAAATTAGCAAGCAAAAAATTAAAGTGTTGTTGACAGCTGAAGTTACTATTACAGCAAATTACATAAAATCTTGTTATAAAACTAATATTTTTTCGCAGACGTTCTTTACAAACCCCATTATACTACCAGTATGTGAATTTACTTTTAATGTGAAACGTATCTCATTTATTAATAAATTTAGATCTGAAATTATCATTTCTGTATGACAAATTAAAAACATGAAAAACTATGAAACGTGGGAGCTAAACCACTAGGCTGTTTTGTGTATTATAGAATATCAGAAGTAAATCCGAGGATGTCATGAAGATAACAAAGAAAAATAGTCGATCAAAAGCAAATTATTTGAAATATCAGGATTTCTTTGTTCGTCATTTTGATGATGATTAACCCATCGTAAAATATAAAAAAAAGATTTTAACAAGGAGTTGAAGTCATATACATATACAACTTCATATCTAAGCCATTTCATTAAACACAAAATTTTGTTTAAAAGGATTTTTAGTATGGTTGAAAATTGAAAATTAAATTTACCTTTTAACTACTTGAATTTGTGAGAAATTAACTTCAGATCTTAATTTACTAACCACAAAATACTTTTTTTTATACTGTCTAGGCTATAGGAGTATAGTATCATTTTCTTTAATTAGATATTTCAATGTTTTATAAAAATTGTGTACTGTACAAAACGATGGTGTTAAATTACGTTATAATAATATCATTCAAGTGCAAAAATACTTTTTCGTGTGTTTTAGGTTGTATGATACATAGATAGATGAAAGTTTTGCAAAAATACAATTCCTTGTTCTGAAAAACTTAATACTGCTATTATTAACAGCAGAACAATACTACTTATTGGAAAATTCTTTTGGTATGTTCCTTTTTTCACATATTAACACTTATTCAGACTATTCTTCAGTGTATAGCTAGTTACATGTTAGTTGTTAGAGCGCTTTCGGCTACTCAGGGCAACAACACATAGGAATGCATACGAATAGTTCCCATTTTAACAATTGTAAGGGGCCAAATGTTGCCGTTAATTCACTTGTTTCTTATAACAGCAGTTGACCATGTTAGGAACTATTCGGCTTTAAATGCACCTATTTATCGGTGATTGTGAATTGGTTTGTTTCCCTTTAAACGCCGAAATTTACATTTATGAAAGTGTTAATATGCGAGCAAGTAATGTAATTAGAAAAAATTACAAATTGTTCAAATAATGTCAAATGTTATTATTTTGTTGGTATGCGGTAGGTTGAGTGAGATGAGCATTTCCGGTATACAAGATAGACAAGAGATGTCGGATATTTGGCACACTAAAAACTTTTTTAGAAGGTAAAGGATAGGCAAGAAAAATATCTATAACCACAGCCTTATTTTAGAACAACTTCCGGAAAGTATAATACATTATTATTATTGCAAATTTAGTCTAAACAATACACCTAAGTTTCGAAATTTTGGCACAGTAGGAAAAAATCTTTTAATTTTTAGATTATGAAGACATTTTAGTGTATTGCTAAGACCAAATACACATTTTTAACAATAGACATGGACCCATGTTGCTAAAAATTAAGCATAATTTTCATAAGACATCGGATTGAGTCAGAAACACGTACGATTTTTTATCCATGTTTACAACAATACTTCTTCCTGAAATAGCTACAAAGCTCCAGTCTTTCTTCAATTTGATCAATTACTTACTCGATTACTGTACCAAAACGGTTATAGTCAATTCGCTCGTTTGCGATAATACTATTAGTCAATTTCATTCATAATTATTTATAAGAGTATTTGCAAATGTTCCTACCACTTTAAAATTACAAAAATCAATAAAATACAATTATCGATTATTTACAAGCTTCACAATTTCAAAAAACACAGGATTTTCTGTTTAAAAAAATAAAACTGAAAAAATCTGTTAAGAGTCAAATCCGGTCTTATCGTGCGAGTCTAAAGGTTACCAACTATACGAATCAAATCAGAAAAAAACAAGAACTACAAAAATGTTATGTTCTTACAAAAAAATACACCTGAGTATTGGATGGTGAATTCCGACATTCTCTTTTTTTCTGAAAATATTGCTTTTGCTTGCAAATGCAAAAAACCATAAAATTGCTTTTTATTATTCATATTGTCAAAGTCACAAAGCGGACATCCACTATTAAAGTTTTTATGAACCACTAAAAATTAAAAATCTCATGCCGAAATTGTGTATGTTTGTCTTATTTATCTTGCGGATTTTATTTGGGGGATTAGATTAGCGGTAAACTTGAAAGTTTGTTGTTGACAAATCGTATGACCCGCACATTAACAGCGGTTTTGACTGTTTTATATCAGAACTGCTTCTGATCCTCAACAGAATTTTAAAATGCACGGACACGAATTTCAAATGTTTTTCTTCACCTTTTTTTATTATTTATGCTTACGATAAAAAACAAAATAATATCAACAATAAGATGAAGTGTGTTTTCCACGTAGTACAAAAAGTATTATTGAATTTTAAATTATTATCATGTCCCAATAATTAAGAGGTACATGAATAAACACTTATGAAGTAGAAAACTTAAGGACATATATCACAAAAGTAGATTTTTAGATATATCAATGAATTTACCCTATATCTATCACCAAGGAAATGTTTACGATAAAAAATTCCATTATCACTAATAGATGAATGTAAAAAAAATTTTCGACAATTTAAATAAAAATTTTTAGGTAACAAACTTATCACAACACAACTATCAGGGAGTAGGGGACGCGCCCTTCGATTAAATAATTACCATTATTGAAATCTTAAGATAAAAGTATGAATGACTTTTTAACTTCATGGAAAAGTGTAAAATTAATCGAAAAAGTTGTTTTTTTTCTTTTGATAATATATTTAAGTGTAAAGTATAGTTTAAAGTGTCATTACGAATTACGAGCTGTAAGATTAAAGGGAGTTCATTTGGGACCATCGCATTCACATTAAAACAAACAATTAATTTCGTACAGGTGCCCTATAATCTGCTTGTTTCCACAAATACATCCGTTTTCTGGCGTTTGTCCCTTACAGGACTATATCAATATCATAGCTTATGTGACGTAGACACAATTTTCAAACGCGCCCATAAAACCCACCCCTTAAGACAAGAATACCTTAAAAAAATTAGTGGATTTGCCTAGACATACCTCCTTCAGGAGGTTAAGAAGCTACACTGTTATGGAAATTAATTTTGTTTAAAAAATAATAAATAACCAATTGTACGAGACACTTTTGCAAAATATGATGTGGTGAATTCAGTAAGTTTGATTCAGTTCCAAAAGCAGCATATAATAATGAAATGAAATCAACCAAATACTTATCCTAATATGCATATGATTAAATGAATCTACTTTTACTTGATGGAAATTCGTTTTAAAATCAAAAATTAAAACACGACTTTACTGTCAAGTTAACATCCATTTTGCCACGTTGCCAAGTTGACAATAAAATTGTGGAAAGCGTTTTAATTTTTAAGTTTACTTATCCTAATATCACTCATTACAATTTAGAAGTTGTATGCATATTTTTCACTTTGTACTTTTCACGTTTAGTTTTACATAACTAAATATGTACATGCAGATTTTCTAGCAACCGATATTTGCTTTTCTTGAGTAAATAAAAACATTCAAAGCACGTGTTCGCCAGTTTTAAAAATGTGTTCTAACTGTGAATTACTGCAAAAAGATCGCATTTGACTTCATTTGCAAACACTCTTCGAATCTTACATGAATAAAAATAAATATAAAATAACAAGATCTAACTCACAAATAATAATAACGAATCGATATAACAATTCAGATAACAACAAAAAAAATATAATAACAGTAACAACAATTTTTCGTTTCCTTAAACTACGAAAGAAATCTAGACTGCTCAAGTCACTCTTACTTTTTTAATAATCATTAATTTATAACTGTTTGATTATTAGAGAAATATTTCTCTGAACACAAATATCGTGTATTCATACGTCATTGATGTCCCGTTATTTTTTTTTCTTCTATGAAGGACGTTTATAATTTCCACTACACTAAAATACATTCTAAAATGTACCGTATAACACGTACAATATACAGTGTTTAAAACACCTACGTAATGAATTAGTGGTAAACGTTTTAAATTCGATGAAAAACAAATATTAGTGAAACGTCAGAAATGGTCTTCTTTAATTTAGTAAATTCACGATTTTATATTGTTTAATTTAAATTTCATTTGTATATATATTTTGTAGTCAGAGAACTATCACCCCTGATTGAGAAACAAATTTTGAACAGTCCCAGATATTTTAAATTACACGAATTAATTGATTTATCTGTATATGAAAACATATAAATTTTCATAATTCCTAATGGGTATTAAAACATGATTTAATAATAATAATCGTCGAAAAGTCAACAGCTTATCTTTGGTTTTGTTCCCTTTTAACCAATCTTAATAATTATTCAATTAATGCGACATATATTGTCCACGTTATGACGATTCTTTTTTTTTTTTTTTTAATAGATAAGGTAATTATTATTTGCTTGATTGATGATGAAGTTTCTGTATATCAGACATATTTCTCAGGGGAAAGACGGTTGGCAACTAATGTATTGGGGCCTTGACGATGTGATTCGGAGCGATGAAGTGATACCCCGGCATCGGTAAACCAGCTGTTTCCATTGTTATTCTGTATTAAAATAAAATAAATAATCATTAGCAATTTAAATATCAATATGATTAAAACCAATCTATGGCTCCGCCTTAGAACATTTGTAATTTCCACATTTTTTATCCGAAAATATTGTGTATGTTATTGATTACCTGTAGTAGATATTTCTGACTATTACACATTTTAATTATGTAATAAACAATTTCTATCTAACTGTAACAATTCATACTCTCCATCATTAATGATCATAATTTCACTCATAATGAAGATTAAGAAGTGATTGTTAACATACACTAATGTATTTTCAGATATGCTCCACTTCCGAGTGACACATTAAATACCATCAACTACTTACTTGCTTCATTACATTAAGTCTTAAAAATGCTGATCATGAAAAATGATATTTACATTTTCAGTACCTACCCAGTCTAAAGCGAAACCATAGACTACCTTGTCAGTAAGTGTTTCCTGTTCTTTAAATTTCTTACCTGATACTGACAAAGATAAAATAATGAGTATGAACATTTGCATATTAAGACTGCATGAAATTTAAACCGACTGTAGTATTTTACAAATAAAATGAAACTTAAAATACTAATCATCTTTGTATTTTTGGTAAAAATGTAATTTAAATAACGAAAGTTAATCACACCATGGTACCCGCTGAATGAAATAAAAAACAACTAATAAATAAAAATTGCAAATGGTATGATGCATTAGGTCTTGAAGGTAGGTGATTGACGAAAGGAAAAGGATATTTATACATAATTTTGACCATCACCCAGGATTATTATTGCAATAGGAACAGTACCAAAAATACAATGATGGATGCATTTGACAGCAGGAATATAGGATTTCATTAAAAAGCTTGTTCTTTTTTTTAAGGTTACCTGACACTTTCACTTGCCCCATTTGATAATAATTTACAAGGACATTTATTGATCTCCACATCAATGCTATATTTATTTGGGGATTAACACAAAAAAAAAGTAACACTAAAAAAAATACATCAAAATATTCAGGTATTAGTTTAAATTACTAACAATAATCCTTACGACCTAGTCGTTTCGGGGCCACTGTCAAACGCGCAGTTAAAAGGAAAATAATGGATGGTCAAGCTTACCATAGGATCCCAGGAATGTCTTCTTGCCGGAAAAGTATGAAAAGGCACTGGGCTGTTAAAGTAGCAGGCTGGGAATTTATGAGCTCACAAACCACATCATATCTTGAATGCTTTTCATTTTATTTACACAATGTGATAGAATTGCACCTGTTCTTATAGAACTATAATACTTCCCATTTTATGTTACAAATAAAAGACAGAGTAGGGATGGCTTTTGCGAATAATTTTCTTATTTTTCAAAAAAAAAAAAAAAGTGTTCAAAGAATACAGAAAACGACCACATGAAGAAATAAGAAATTTGGAATTCCGTTTATTTAGAAATACTGTGTAAGGAAATTTTCACATAAGACTGATTAGTTTACTAATCATAGATTTATTATTAACTTAATATTTCTTTATGGATTTCGATTTTACGTAAATTAGACAGCGATACTTGCAAATAGTTACTGCAAAAGTTAATTCCAATGATAACTGTCTTTATTGGATAGAATTTTTAGAAACCTCCTAGAAATAGATAAAAATGAAACACTTGGTGAGATCTAACATGAAGAAGCCGATTAATAGCTAACGGAAAGGGAGCTGGATGGTTTTCTCTGGAGATAACAAATCGTATTATACTTATTGAGCACGTCGAAAGGAAGTTATTGTAGAAAATTGTAGATAAATATTCCACTATGAAAATCAATACAGATGCAGCCGTGAAAATGGTATTATTAGGGAAAACCAATTCAATATCGAAAGAATTAGGCAGAAGTGCAAAAATGGTAAATAAAGACGTGAATACCTTATAAGAGGTACATGAGCATAAATAACAATAGGTAGTGATGGGAAAATCTGAATTATTTCAAAAACCGGATAGTGACTGTATTCCTATGATTGTTGATATAATTAGTAAAAAAGTTCGTTGTTCCTACTACGAAATATGAAATCTTTTATACCACCATACTACACAACAGTAACATCTGTAAGATATTATACTAGAAACTACATGTCGCGGGAAAAATTTAAATTATAAAAGTAGTGTGAAACTCCTAATTCACTACGGTTTTTTCTTCTAAAGAAAAATGCAAATTCTGTTGGAACTGTATGGCGTTCTGGCATCGAAGCGCCATCCACGTCTGACGTTTCATTCAAAAGATCATGGCGGTTAGCCACCATGAACCTTTGTTCATTTTGATTACATGCCTTTCGAAATACCTTAATTTAAGCACCCATTGAAAAAACAATGTCAAAGGTATTAAAAGTAAAAGTGATAAAAAAGGGGCGATTTTTTACTACCTGAAGAACATTTTGGCAATACAGGAAGTTAAATTACAGCATTAAAAAAAAACACTTTCAATATTTGTAGAGATATAGTAATGTAGGTCGAAGCAGAGTAATCAAACGGCGTAAGATGAATTAATTTTAATTCGGATTATCCCAACACTAATAAATAAAATATATTAAATAAAAATATNGTTTATTTTAAAAATCCTACATGTATGTGTATTTATGTATCTAATTATTTCAAACTACTATATAAAGGGTGATTAATAGGTACAATTTAAACCACACTTACTATAATGCATATACCTATTCATCCTACAAATATTTTTTGTAAGCAACAGTCTTCTTAGTATACTACTAAATATTATGTTGTAAATTTAACACTCTCGTTTGTGCCAAAAGTATTTTCCATTTTTTATTATATATTGTTCAACAATTCAACAGTTCTATAACGGGACAATAGTTGTCATTTCGTGTATATCGAATAAGAATGTAAAACTATAAAAAAAAATGAATAACTATTTACCATTCTACGTAAAGTTAGCGGAATGATATAAAAAAAAATAAAAAAATGATGATTACTCATATAGAACATAATAAATTGTAAAAATAATTTATACACGTGTATATTTGAATCCTCTTTGCCTTGATTTATGATAAACGACTGAGAAATTTACAAAGCACTTTTACTGTTTGAAAATTATCATCTTTTATAAATGCAACGACTATTTAAATATAATTAAATCTAACGGCATGCACGTCTCAATTACATAAAAATTATAGGAAGTAAAAAAAATCATGCATAAAATAATAAAACTAAACTATTAATCAAACATATTGTTTACCTGACGTTATTTTATGGTGATCGAAAAATTAAAGTAACAATTATCTAAGATTATGAAAATAAGTTCATAAAATACTAAATTGCTCGCATCATTGTCAACAAACGAAAGATACTACACTTTGAAAAATTTGTAGTTTTTTAGAATCTAGCATTAAATAAAAATACATGACCTCAATTTTGATAAAAATTATGTACACTTTTTTGTAATAACTGTTGTGGGATAGACACACATATTTAAGAAATTTATTTTATTTATTAAAGGAGTGAAAACAGTTAGAGGAGGTGATGATCATGTAGAACAGTAAACAGTAATTTGTAGGTGAGACGACGTGGTGAATCAGGAAGTGGAGGTGAAAATTGAAAATGGTAATTGTATACATGTGGAAACTGTCAATCGAAGAAGGAAATGAGAATAGAGGGTAGAGACAGCGGAGCGCTGGATACGTGGAGGATGAAGGTAAAAATGGTAATTTGAGAAAAAACTCCCAACCCATGCCATACTAATTGGTGAGGTGAGTTTTCTCTTTTTGGTAAAGTTAAAGAAACAATAACTCCATTTTTTCACCTCCTGCTTTTCAAAGTTGCCACCTCAACCAACAAATATTTATTTAGTGTTCTACAAAGTCATCCCCCCTTCCATCCATTTTCCACCTCTACCACGCGACGGTCCATAATTGTAATCTATCCCTTTAGTCGTTTTTAGTTGCGTCTTCCGAATTATTAAACGCTTCTCCAAATGATTCGACATTCTTAAAATTCTTAAGATATTTCTATTCTGGTCATTCCCGGGTCATATCATTCGAAACTATTGCAATTACAGTAATGGTAACGTCTCGATTTTTGAACAAAATCATAATAAAAATAAATCTCATCTATGTCGTATAAAAAATGTCATATTTAATGTTAAAAACATTTGAGAAATTAGGATTTATGTCTGATAATAATAAAATGAATCTCAAAAAGCACCTCACGGTAACGTTTATCATAAACCAATCTTCTTAAGAAAAAGGAATATTTCACTGGAGTTACAACTGCCTTTCGTTAATGCATAATAATATGCACACGCATTCCTCAATATAATATTATTAATAGCATAATTGCGTAATAAAACAAATACAAGTGTAAAATATGCAGAAAGTTGCACGTGCTTTGATGAAAGCATGTTGAAAATAAATCCGACCGTACGTAAAAAGATTAGTAAGAGAAGATATGGTTTGTTTTGCTCTATAACATTTTTTTTTAATAAGGATTATACTTGTTGCGTTCGTTCTTGATTTTGGAACCTTCAGAAGGCCCCGGTCCAGAGGAGCCAGGGGATCGCAGGCGGGGAGCGTAGCTCTTGTGGGTGCGATGGACGCCGGTTGTCTGTACGGGTGGTGTGCCAGTCTGCGCGCCCAACAACTCGGTCAGGCCGCCCAATGCACTCAGACTGGTGAGTGCATTGAGCGCGCCCGGTTTCGAAAGCAATTGGGCGAGCGGGATAGCACTGGCCAAAGGATTGGATGCGGCTACGGCTGCGGCGGTCGCCGTCGGGCCTTGGCCCGAACTACTACCGCCGGCTCCGCCACCGCCGCCGCCGCCGGCACTACCGGGAGAGTTTTGGGCCTCAAGGTTGGCTTTCTGCAGCTCAACACTAAGGAAAAAAAGAGAGAGAGAATAGGAGGAGTGTACAAAGTGTCATGTGAGTATAGGGTTCGATGGATTTGGATTTACCTGCATGTGAAATATCGAAGGGAAATGCTCGTGACTGTTCTTCTTGTTAATTAGAACGTTAATTTATTTAATTGAAGGCCGACCTTTATTTACAATGCGGTAAACATAAATTAAAGTATGCATTTATATATAGAGGGTGTCCAGGACAAGCGTTGGGATATTAAAAGCAAATAAGAAAAACGCAAGTGTTTTATCAAAATCAATTATAACACATGAAAATAAGGAGATCCTCATAAAATTTAAAGTATTAAATATGAACAGTTGGGTACTTATAAAACATCTTTAAAATTATTATGGACTTCAACAAAAGAGTGAATGACGTTTAAATTGTTTTACTAATTCGTAATTGCCTTTTACATGACATTCATGCCGTAAGAGTTGTAGCAAGTAAAATGGGAATCGAATGCCCCCGACTGTTGATTTCATCATCATAAGTTCGTCAGTCCTGGTCCAGACTGGTTGAACACGCACCTCCACTCTTTCCTATTCTGAGCTAATCTTCGCATTTCCCTCAAACTAGACCAACCCATATCCTTAACTATTTGCGAACACTAATCTAATCTAAGTAGTGTCCGACCGAAACTGGTTTTTACGACCGAAACCGAAACCAAATTTCGGCAACGGTCTCAGTTTCGGCCGAAACCGAAACCGAAACTTCCTTATAAGGATCATGTTTTGAGAGAAAAATAAAGAAAACGTTATTATAATCAGTCAGTTTTATTTTTTATCTTTAAATCACATAGCTCTGCAGTCTTTGACATTTTTACTTATTGATAATAATCAAATCAAAATCAACATAACAACCCCTCATTTAAGGAAATACTTTAATTGCGCCTTAAAAATACTTAAAATAGGTAAGATGTTTATTTGAGTAAGTATAGTAGACTAGACTCATTTTTCTTTTGAAGATTATTCATGCTTTTTTTTATATAATCATCATCATAAGGTCATCAGTCTTTAGACTGGTTGGACACGTACCTCCACTCTTTCCTATCCTGAGCTAAACTTCGCATTTCCGTAAAACTAAAACAGCCCACATCCTTAACTATTTGCGAAGAGTAATCTAATCTAGGTCTACCTCTACCCCTCCTAACTCCTGTTTCTGCCTCTAATACGTCTCTGACTAGACCTTCATGCCTGAGAAGGTGTCCTACCAACCTATCTCGCCTATTTTTTATTGACTTCCATAGAGTCCTCTGTTCTCCTATTCTTTCCAATACCTCTTCATTTCTAACCTTTTCTACCCACGATATCCTCATCATCTGCCTATAACACCACATTTCGAACGCTTCTAACCTTTTCTTTTCCGCCGCTCCCACTGTCCATGTTTCACACCCGTACAACGCCGTGCTCCAAACATACACCTTTAACAACCTTTTTCGAATTTCTAAATTAACGGTTCGCGAGTATAGAAGTGACTTCTTTTTATTAAAGGCGACACGACCCTGCGCTATCCTCTGCTTTATATCCCTACTACTCCTTCCATCCTCACTTATCTGACTTCCTAAAATCAGCCACTTCTTCTAATTTTTCGTCTCCTATCTTTATATTCGCTCTTTCCCTACTTTTTCTTCTCTGGCATATCAGTATTTTAGTTTTACTTTTATTTATTTTTATACAGTACTGATCTGTCAGTACCGCTTCCATTTTATTTAAAGCTATCTTTATATTCGCTCTTTGTACAAACCAAGCATCACTCTTCTATCTTTGTTTTCTCTACTGTTACCCGTAAAGCTAGAATGGCCTCCGGCGTTCCTTTATTTCTTATAAACCCAAATTGCTCTTCTCCTAATAGTTCTTCCGCGCTTTTTTCCATCCTCCTCTCTACAATTCTAGTTAAGATTTTTGACGCATGAGAAGTTAAGCTAATTTTTCTAAATGTCTCACACCTATCCGCGCCTCTCTTTTTAATAAAATAATAATAATCATATCTGATTCGATAATTTTTTTACAACTACGAGAGGGAATAACTACTTTAGGTTAGGGAAACATTATTTACATTATACGTTTTGATTTAACAATACACAGTTCCTGTCTAAGGATAATGTCTTAATTAGACCTCTAGATTTTTAAGTACGTTTATTTAATTTCTATCTCAGAAATATGTAGAGACCCTAGATACATAACTTTCTTTCCGTCTCTACCGCCATTTCCTAATTTAAGGCCGTCATTTTGGTTTTGTAACTATCGCACGCTTTAGACAAATTGATAGAAACCTCAGAAAAAAATAACTCCTCCTTTGCTATCGCTCAGTCGGGTAAAATGAAATAAAAAGGTAAAAGTACGAATGGAATAGATATATAAACAAAACGAAGTTGCTTAACTCACAACCTTTGTAAACGGCTTAAGTTGAAAACATTGTCATAGAATTAAGAAAGAAAAAGATAATTTCAGAATAGATGAGCAAATAGCTTTAAGTTTAGCTTCTAATTTCTGATATTGAAAGAAACAATTACTGGTAATTAGTAAAACAATTTGAACGTTATGGGATATATGTTAAATACTAGAAACAAAAGCAGAAAGCATTGGATTCGGTTGTTTCTTTTTGTTTATCTAACATATTAATAATAATACAGCTCGTATAGGTATCTACATAAAAATGTGATATAAAACGTAGCAGGTGTTTCAATTTACCTTTAAATACTATCAGTTCTGGATAGATTTTAATTGATACATTTAAGTAGTTTAGCAACTAGAACTTCTGTTGTTCACTGAATTATTTTGACAGTGCTTATAAAGTAGAAAAATATTAAAGACAAAATGAAGGTAATGATTAACAGAAATTAAAATACGAAAAACGAAATGAGGGGTCCTTAAAATTTTAATAGTTGCAAGAGTTAAGCTGAAATAGTTTCTTACCTCATATAAAGAAAATTTATTTAAATAAGAAAGAAAGAAAAAGAGAAAAACATGGAGAAGTACTTTTTAAAATAGGAAACAT